CTATTTTCACCATGAAACCTAAAAGAGAATATAATATAAATATAATTATTTGATTATAAATTTGAACAATTTGCATTATCTTGTAAAGAAGTGCTTGCTTTTGTTTAAGAGCATGTGCTTCAGAGATTTCTGGGTTTATCAACACCAAAGATGAATCAAATGAATTAGAGACTTGTAACTCTCCTGAAGCATATATAAAAAACAAATGGTCATCAATACTACTAAATTAAATAAATACAAATAAACCATAATTTTAAAATTAGTACTCAACTGTCATGTAGAGTATGAAATTATGCATATTAAAATAATAGTTTGGGTTTAAAATGTACCTCTAAACCTCCCAAGTTTAGCAAACCTCAAAATCACTGTAACCATTTCATTTACTTCATTGCAGACAGAGTGGAGAGTGTCAGCCAAATTGCCCCAGATGCAACATGGTAACCGTGAATCACTACAGCACGGTGGAAAACAGGATAGTTGCAACTATCAATTTTGTGTACGAACATTACTTTTATGTTTTAAATAGCAAGAATCCTTATTGGATGTCAAGCAGGGTAAAGTGAAGCTTCTTTTGTTGTTTCCCCCCCAATACATTGGACTGTTTCAACCCCACCACAATCATGCACCTGTCCCAACACATCTTCAAACCATTAAAGTGGAAACATGTTAGTACTGGTACAAATGAACATAGATTGAAATGCAAAATGACTGTATAATTACCAATCAATATATTGTCATTAAGTGATCCATTCAAAATGGTTTGAAAGTTGGCCAAACTTAGATACAACTCATCACTCATGTGATTGGATCGAGTAATGGTTGTGTTTTGATTAAAGACCATCTTGTATGTATGATTTGTTGATCGATAACCTCCTAATGCAGGATTAACCTGAAAATTCCTGATGTAACACCATAGCCCAACCGGAAGAAGGCTTCCGGTACTCTCAATGTAAGTCCTTTTGCATGTTGCCTGAATTTTATGGCCATGTTACATTTTAAAATATGTATTTAAATACCAAAAACAAATTCTGAATATTAAAAAAGATAGTTACAAAAGCTTACATTTTCATCAGCCAATATGAATTCCATGGTTTCCCCTGAGATGTTTTGTTTCCAAGAGTGTAGAACCTTGACATGAACAAACCAAGTATTCTTCCAGGGCCTCAGCTCATTTACGCCTGTCACTTTCTCATTAGAAGCCATAAGTTTCTCTGAAGGCATAGTTTTTTTACGGTACTGGTTTCAATGTGGAGAGGGTGTTCAATATTTATAATAATAGGAAGAGGTTAAAGGGGAGTTGTTTAGGTTATAGGTTCACGTTGCGGCATACTCAAAATCATATAAGAAGAGATTTCCTAAACAATAAAATCGTAATCTTTCAATGTAAATATTGTTGCAATTTAGAAAGGCATGTTGAGAAATCATATACAAAGAGATTTCCTAAACTATAAAATCATAATCTTTTTTTGAAAATATTGTTACAATTTAGAGATAATCGGAATAGAGTGCTGTCTATTTATAATATAAGGGACGTGCTTAGGTTTTAAGAGCAAACTTGGGGAAAAAGTTGGGGGATATTCTCTATAGTAATGAATATTGATTAGGATTAGTATTTGGGAAATCCATAAATATAGGTGAACAGAATATATTATCTGCTTAAATCGCCCATTTAATATTGAATATTGATTAGGATTAGTATTTGGAAAATCCATAGATATTCTCTTTTGTCAATAAATTTTGAATCTTACCCGAATATATATGAGTATCCCAATATTATTGTTATTCATAATATTATTGTTATTCATAATCTTACAGGAAATTATCAGTTGTTTAACATGGGTTTCAGTTCTCGGAATTTTCATTATCGTGTGAATTTGCATAACATATAGGATTTATTTAAGAACTAAGATTGTATACATTAGTATTGGATTAATTTGAATAGAGTTAGTATTTATAAATCACATTTCAGTTACTGTACATAAAATAAGGTTAGGGAATTGGATTGTAGATATGGTTTGCATAGGGTTTGAATAGAGTTTAGGTTATAGGATTATCTGAATAGAGTTTAGGGTATAGGATTATAACATTTGAAGATGTTATAGCCCATTTGCAGATCCGAAATATTGAAGCCTATTTCGTGAAGCCCATCTAATATTTCGTGAAGCCCATTTAATAAAAAGGAAAAGTCTAGTTTTGCAATATTTTAAAAAAAGAAAGAGGCAAATCTTGTAATTTCCTAAAAAGTTAAGGGGCATAAACCAAAACAGTCATCTGCTTTAATAGTATAGATTTTGTGTTGTATGCTTCGGAAAACTGCGTAAAACTTGGTTATCTACTTTGTTTTCTAATAACATTATTATCTATATCAAAACTACGTTATCATAATATTATCTATATCAAATCTCGGGTGTGGTATTTTTACATTTTTTCTCTACTAAGGTTTATAATTCTAAAAAAAACTCGGTCATCGCGTTTTTGAAATTTTCTTCGAACTCGTGATATATCCGGTATGAAACCTTGTAATTCCAATCACAGTTTCAATGAAGAACTTCTTAGAGATGAATTTTTTGATTTATATATATTACGCCCATATTATTGTACAAAACAATATAACTTACATTTTGAAGTACTAAAATCGAAAGTAAAACTAAAAAACAAATTTTAAAAACTAGTAACGCTAATTAAATTAGAAACCAGCAAAAGTATAACTATGACCAAATTTCGTAACACTACTATCCTTTGTGTATAACTAAGAACAAATTTCTGGAAGAAAATGAATAATTAGTTTTGGCGTCTAAACAATTAAAACAATTAAAAATTTCTTATCCATCTCTCTCTTCCTTCCTTTCGAGATTCAAACCGGGATTCCCCATTTTCCAAATATTCCATTTACCGACACCTATTCAATCAATTCTCTCTCTCTTATATTATCTGAAACAACACCGGTCCAACATCTGCCCCTGAAACTTTCGAACTCTCTCTCTCTCTCTCTCTCTCTCTCTCTCTCTCTCTCTCTCTCTCTCTCTCTCTCTCTCAGATATATGTGGGTTCGGAACCGTCGACAAGGAGCCAGAATTATGGTCGGGGCTTCTGTTTTTTGTGGCTTACGGGCAAATAGAACGCAATCTTGGACTGACAAAAACCCAGGTCGACGATTTTATGACTGTTCGCGTTATAAGGTATGAGATATGATATGACAATTGAACTTTTGATGTGAAATATTGATTTAAAAATATATTTGGACCTTGTGGCAGCTTGGAGACGGATGAAATTACTTCTCTTGGTTTGATAATGAGGAAGGTACGAAATGGCAAAGAAGAGCTTTGATTTGAAGCTCGTGATGAGATTAGTTGGAAGTCTACGGTGACTGAGAAATTAACTAAAACCATCTCATAAATGAAAAGAAATCTCAAGAATTAAGAGACAGTGGATAATGAAAATAAAGATGAGATTATTAGAAAGTTTGTGAAATTCTATGTTTAATGTTTTAAATTTTTTGGGTTTTTTTTCTCATTTCTGGTCTATCTTTGAAAGTCCTCGTCTTTTCCAGTTTGTTTTCCATTTTTCCAGTTTTTTATTCATTTCTTTGCTTCGGCGGATAGGTTTATAAGTCTTTATGTTGTGGTTTATCTAAGGCTTGTAAAACTCCAATCTTTCGTTTATTTAGTTTGTGCTTGACGATAACATGTATTGAAATTGCAACATGATCTGATAAATTTAAGATTGAAATTGTAACATGATCTGATAAATTTAAGATTGAAATTGTAACTGTAATTGTAACATCACGAAAATTATAGTTTTAAACTTCTACAAAACCGAGAAGCATAGAGTTCTGCAAAATAATCAGACGTGAAACATCAACAAAACATGAAACAACTCCGGCTTCCTTTCTTCCCTCTCTCTTCGAATGTCTTCTGCCCTTCCTTCACAAACGGATGGGAACACCGTCGACACTGAAACATACTTCTTTAATTGCTTCGATAGGCTCAAAATGCTGCAAATTACATTTACTTGTACGTAAGTTATACCAGTAATACCAAATATTTTTTTCTCAAAGTTACTATAATATTCTCTAGTATACCTTCTTATTATTAATTTTACCTAATTCTCAATGTTTCACCGAGTGGTACTAGTATTATGTATAGTTATACCATAATTTCCAGATTCTACACATCATCACCATAATGCCTATTTCTAGTTCACCAAAACATGCCCAATTCAAACAAAACTAGGATTCAAAATGCAATTCTAATTTGGAAATTCTCCTATTTGTTACCTCGTCGTCGTTCTCCTCATTCTCGTCCCATCTCTGACTCTTTCCACTATGCTTTCCAAACCCTTATCCTCGAGGACATCATCCTCTCTGTCATTCTTCTCTCCAATAGTAACTGCCACTGCAGCTTCGACGAAGACACTTATCGGCTCCAAGATTATCTCATCTGTCTCAGTCACTGTTGCTGGTCTTCCTTGTGATTCCTCATCCAGCATCTCTGTCGTCTCTTTTCACTGTATCAATTTTCACACACAAATTGACTTTCGCGACCAAGAATGAAAAAGAGGAAAGGAAGGAATCAGACTCTAAGCTCAGAAAGGATTTCGAAGGAATAAGAAAATTAAGGGGCCAATTCAATCCAAAGTTAGGGTTTTATTACCCCAGAGTGAAGAATCGGTATGAGTTTCCTTCGATTTTGTTTTGAGTTTTGTTTGGGTCGCGGTTTGAATTAGATTAGATTGAATTTTGGTACAATTAGGTATAACTCGAAAATAACTGAACTTTCCTACGGTTTAATAGTCTTTTCCATACAATCCTAATTAAATAAAAATAGAAAATGTCCATGTTTTATAAAAGATCCTTGGAAGATTGATTCATGAGATGAGATGTGGGGTAGCCATAGTTGTTGTGTTTACTCTTTAAAAAAGGTCAAGTCCATAGTTGTTGTGTTTTTACACTTTAAGGGCTTGAATTTTATTAATAGAAACGAAATCAGTCATATATATCCGAAAAATCTAAACCATCCCCTCGTCTCTGTTTTCAATCAATCTCCTCCAATTTCATTTGAGGTCGCTCCTCCGCTTGAAATTTTGGAAATCTACTAGGACGGAGAAATGTAAGTTCCGATTCTATCACAACAGAACGCATTCACGAGTGGATCGAAATCGTCTCTTCCTCATTGGTTAATCTACAGATCAGATCAGATCAGATCAATTGTTGTTTTATTGATTGATCGAATTAGGGCTTTTATTTTTGTGGATTTGAATAAAAAGTTTTGAATTTTTGCAGAATCAGTAAACATGGAAGCAGAGAATCTGATAAAAGATCGCGGCTTTGTGGCCGCTCCTCTGACGTTCTTCGTCGTGGTCATCTTCCAGTTGCTATCAAAGAGGATAGACCAGTTGAAGAAGGTAAATAAACAAAACGTGTTTTTTTTAATGAGTGATCCAATTTAAAAAGTCACATTGTTTCTGAAATTTATATACAGAAAGGGTCGAAGAACACGAGGGAAGCAGAGCTGAGATCTGAGATTAAGCAGCTTTTGAGAGAGGCCACTGGGTTGTCTCAGTAAGTAGTTTGTTGTGTTCATGTTTTTGTCTGAAGCCGTGGTTTTTGAAACATCCATGTGATGTGTGTGAGTGAGTTTGTTTGTGTTTGGTGCAGGCCAGCCACGTTTGCTCAAGCGGCTAAGCTTAGGAGGTCGGCAGCTACTAAAGAGAAAGAACTTGCACTATGTGAGTATGTGTACATGTCAGCTCTATAATGCAATAGGGTAGTTAGAAATGAATACAATCTAGTGGTACATGGACCTACCAGAGCATTGAATCTTTTTGGTCTTGTATAGGTGTGTGTGTGTGTTTATGTTTTTTCTTTTGTGAAATTTCAGATTTGGAGCAGCATAACAAGGAAATTAATCTGTCATATGATCTGTATGGAAAGGTTCTACTTGCTTCAAAGGTAACTGAAGTGGTTAGGAAGTGGTGCGATTCAAGCTTTTTCTTTTGACAACTCCATAATTGAGATGTGCTAAGAGCTTTGTATCTAGGTTGTGGTATACCTGATCTTGGTATTTTGGTTCTGGAGGACTCCGATTGCCATTATTGCTAAGCAGCTTGTTCAACCCTTTGGTGAGTAGTTAGATTTACCGGTTAAAGCTGTCATACAAATGGTTCAACATAGATTGAGAAAGCTAAATGTGGTGCCTTTCTCAGGGAGGTTGTTATCTTGGGGAACAGGTGGTCACTTGACAGGCCATGTGATGGTAAGTTCCTTCTCTCTCGATCCATTTCTTTTGGGGTGTTGTGAGAATGAGTGTTTGTTGTGTAAAAATGCAGGTTGGGATTATACCATGGCTGATACTTTCAACCAGAGTGAGCAAATATGTCTGTAGGTTCGTGGAGTTCTAAAATCACAGTCCTGGAAGAGAATAGAATTTAACGTTTTTGTACATTATATGGATCTTGTTCTCCGGTTTGTGTTGGGTTTGATCAATAATAACAAGTGGTTAACGTCATTACATTTCAGAACATCAGCCGTCACTCTACGTATTGTCAATTTTCATATTTTGAATAGCCGACTTTGGACAACCAAAAGACGCGTGGTAGTGTGTACTTTATGTAGCATGATGCATACGCATGTGCTCCATTAAGACCGAGTATATTGGTGATAACTAATAGCATCTACTTTCACCTACCTCATTAGCGGTTGATTCGTAATTAACTATGAAAACAACTCAAATCAAATGTTGTTTGATAAGATATGAACGAGTCACATCTCTTTAAAATCTTCTTTACAAACATGGGCATGTAAGCAAATAACCATATATGGTTTAACTGGGAGATGTGAAGTGTAATAAATAAGAAGAAAAAATTGTCTATCATTTAATGGTAGCTGTGTATAGTGTGTGCATGGGGCCATCCACAGTCCTCAAGATATTAATCTTCTCTCTTTTCTTTTACTCTCTTTTCCACATTCCTAAAACATTCAAAATGACAGAAAAATATGGAGCATTGTAATCTAATAACTATTCCTAAACTTCATTGTGATATTTCAATATTAATATCCAAAACCAACATCTTAATGGGTGTTTGGATACCCGTTCGGATTTGGATCGGGTAGATATGATATAGATTATTTTTTGTAACACCTCTTAAGTCTCATTTTAAGAAATTCTTAAATTTGGATCGGGTTCGGATATAACACATCGGTTTTAGTGTGAGTTTAGATTATACCGAAGTTACCGCATATCATTTGAGTTTGAGTTTTAGTGTATCGGTTTCAGATTAACTGAAGTAAAATTCAAAAAAAAAACAAATAAATATAAGACACTTAACTTATATTTATGAATCACAACTGTTGGATTTGATGATTGATACTCGTTTTTATGACACCAATGAAGTAGAACAAAATCTGAAGATTTATAAATATATAGAAATTACTGAAATTGTCATGTCTTCTATATTATTAAATGATAACATTAGATAAATGTTTACAAATTGATCATATTGATAAGTGAAATATGAAAACTCATAATATATAATAGTAGCAACACAAACTTTGTTAAGTAAGATGAACTTATAAGAATTAAGAAACATGTCCCTTAAATTTTGAAAATAACAAAACGTGTCTTGGAAATTGTCGGACTTTGTGTAATACATGTATATACTTATCTACATAATACATATATTTCGGTTATTTCGGATTCTAATTCAGGTTTCGGATTAAACCGAATCCATACCCAGTAACCAAAGTATCAGCATAACAAAATCGATCGGGTATTCTGATGGATTCATAACCAGTCGGGTAATTGAGTTTTTTTATTCGGTTTTGGATTATGGATAATATGCCCAGACCTAATTGAGAAACTGTTTTGGGTACTGCGTTCAGAACCCAAATTACAATTCTCATGAAATCTTTTAATTCGTACATAACAACGCTTACAATAGATTTTTCACCACCTGGCAGATTCTAAGACAATGTTACTGTGTCTCACTCAAGGTGGGGATATAAATAGTTTTATACAAGAATTATTAGCAAAACAAATGTAAATTTAGTAACTTCAATCCCAAAGAGATGTGAAGTTTTAATGCACGAAGCTTATTTTTAGTAACACAAAGTGGGACCTTGAGCATTCTCTCTATGTAAGGCCATAACTCTTCAACCAACAGGTCTCTCTTTACTGTCTCTCTCTCTCACTCTCTTGTCTCTACGAACTCTTGCCTTGTCCTAAATCAAGATTTTTTTCAAAGGCACAAATGAGTTATTTGGGGATCGGAATCAGTCCGGGAAACGTCGCCGTCTACCACGGAGGCAAGATGAAGCTGATTGACCAGAGACTTAGGCTAACGGAGGTTATCTTACGCTGCTCCGTGAGTGTCCTCGCTCTCCTCGCACTTATTCTGATGGTTACAGATACTCAGGTCAAGCGAATTTTCGTAGTTGAGAAGAGGGCCAAGTACACCGACATGAAGTCCCTTGTGTTAGTTACCTTAAACCCATTTCTTACTTGAGAGATTTGTAAATGTAGTAATTTTTTGTTTTGTTTTGTTTCTTGTTGGATGCAGATTCTTGGTTGTCGCCAATGGGATAGCTGCGGCTTATTCTTCGTTACAATCAGTTCGTTGCGTGGCGGGTTCGATGAAAGGAAGTGTTTTGTTCAGCAAGCCACTTGCTTGGGCCATTTTCTCCGTTGATCAGGTGAATGAGCCTAGTCCAGTCTGTGTTTCTTTCCCCATACATTATTGTCGCTGACAAAACTAGTGAAGTAGCTGTGAAAGTTTGGTTTGTCGTTTGGATCTCTACATGGTCGGACCGGGTCGGGTCATATTAGGGTTTTGCTATAACGTTGAAAAGTCTACAAGCATTTAATGGGTTTGGTTGGGTATAGTAGAATTGAATGTACGTAGGTAGGAATGTTGCCTTGTTTTTTAAGACGCTAATGGATGTGTGAATGAGAACACAGGCGATGGCTTACATGAGTGTTGCGGCTATAGCAGCCGCATCAGAGTCTGGTGTGACTGGAATAAGAGGTGAGGAAAAGCTGCAGTGGATTAAAGTGTGTAATATGTATGCCAAGTTCTGCAACCAAGGAGCTGGAGTGGTTGCTAGCGCCTCTCTTGCCTCCATTGCTATGGTGTTCGTCTCTTGCATTTCCGCTTTTAGTCTCTTCCGCTTGTACGGTGCCACTCAGAGACGTCCAAACCCCGCCGTGGTGAAGTGAAAACGCACCCCTTAGTATTCATGAAATGTTGTTAAGAAACAGAAACAGTGAAATCTTCGTTGTGTGTTAAGTGATGATCTTATCTTATTCTAGGTGACGAATTATATGTAAACTTGGACCTAGTTTGCTCCGTATCAATGTGTTATATATCTATTGTGATCGAAAGAAAAAACGAACAAAACAGCTCCTAGTGTGTTCTCTGTTCTGTTCTCTACTACACCCACATATATCTTGCAACTCTAATTATATTTTGGCTCCTAATTAATTTAATTCAACCAAAAGTATCTTTATACAACTAAAGGTGCTTTTGTTTAAGCTGAAAACCAACTCTATTTAATGAAGAACCATGTTTCCATGGCCTTCCTATAGACTGAGTCCTCCCTTGTAGTTATGCTTGAATACGGTTTCTGACTTGTTTGTCAATGAGTTTAACAAGACTTTGATGCTGATTTATGCATTTCTCAAAATTTTCTAGCATTTCGTTCCTTCCAAATGGCATATAAGAAGGCTTGAAAATAATACTTCTATACTACTCTATATCAGACCCGATCTTGCTTTGTTTTAAAGTTTAAAACTAGATTTTGACCCGCGCAACCGCACGGGTGTTTGTTTTCGTTTATAGTTAGTTATATAAACATTTTGTTTTCACTTGTAAATTGGTATATATTATAGTAATCACATATTTACGATATGTATAGTAAATGTTTTTCAAACATAATAATATTATATAATACGTGTTTTAATCAAGTTTCTAATTTTATATATTACACATGTTTTCAAACATGTGTTTGTTTCTTCTTCTACATTTTATTGTTTGTTAGATTAATATTTCATTTTTAGATAAAGTAATATAAATAGAGCTTGATTAAATATTAGTATATTTTAATTTGCAAAGATAATATAAACTTCAAAGAATTTTTTGCTAAAAACTAAACTTATAACTTCATAAATTAATATTATAAATAATTTTATTAAAAAGAAATTTTGTACACAATTTCTTTTTTTTAAACAATATAATTTTAAAATTTTACATCGAAATAAATTTATCAAGTATATATAGTGTGTAAAATTTTTAGGGTATATAAATAGGGCTTTTTGCATAATTGACCTGAAACTTGAAGTCAACCACAAAACTAACCTCCTTTTTTTTTGGAACTTTATTTTGTCCAATTCACCCCACAAGTTCATATAATTCACGAAAATGCCATCAATTTGTTTTTTTATTTTTTTTTCGAAAATAACATATTTACTCTCTCACCCTCATCATCTTCAAATAATTACAA